TCTTAGGGCGAAGACCTTAGGAAGTAACGACGATACTGACCCCTTCTCACTCACCAGGTGCAGAGAGGGGAAGAGGACACATCCATCAAGAGGAGGTTACCCGAGGAGAACAGCCGCGGCAAACCTGAAGATGTCAACTGGAGCTGGGTAACGAGATGGGACCTCCCGTTATATATGTCTTTAGTTTCATGTCTTAATGAGTATACTGAGGAACTCAAGGATTGTGTTTTATGTTTTGTTGCTCTGGATTGAGGTCGTCCAAATGTTTAGGGCATTTCACTTGAGAATCTTAAACATTGTTGTTGTTGATTTTTTTTTATTTTTTATTTGTAAACCTGTTTTGGGTTGCTCCGGGGTAACCGGTTTATGGTTTGAGTTATGATTTGGTTTTTAAAAAGGATCGGGTCGTGTCAGGAAATCAAATTTGTCACCACGTAGCCGCAGTAGCAAGATGATGAGGCGGAGACGGAGGTGGGGTTGTCTTCCGTTGCCGCAAAGGAGTTTCCCCGATTGAGAGAGGGTAGGGGAAGAAAAGAAGATACAAGATAAAAATTTTTTTTAACTTTTCCACAAGAATATAAGACTTAGTTGAAAATTATAATTATCTAATGAAATGTTTGATTTTGTGCCAAATCATCAAATTTGTTCCACCTCAGCAGTGATTTTGCTAAATTAAAGTCAACTAATAATTGACCGGATGGAAAGTTAACGGATTGGCTATTAAATTGTTTTCGAAAAGGTTTGGCTTTTATATTGTTTAAAACGAAAGGTTTTGCTATTAAATTGTATTTACCCTAAAAACAAAGGGTAAAAGTGACATTTCACCCAAAAAGTATTATAACTTATTTAAATAATACACTGCGGGCATTTTGTTCACTAAGTCTTTGGAGAGAAACATAGCAAAGGGGAAAATAGAGTGAGGAACAGAATTTGACCGAACAAAACCAAAAGACAATAACTAAAGACGAAAAATTCGATGTTGGGTCGATTTGGGTTATTCGGGTTTTAGAACCCTTAACCAACCCAAATAATGGTCTTCATTAGGGATTGCAATTTGAACCCGCCCCATCGGGTATTACCCGACCTGACCTACGATGGGGCGGGTATTACCCGACCCGCAGTAGCATGGGGCCGGACATGGGTATCAACTTCCAACCCGCCCTGCCTCGTCCCGCCCCGTTCTTAACCCGTTCTAGGTCAATTTCTTACGTCGTCCATTCATATATCTCCTATTTGGGCTTTTCTTCAACTAATTAGACTTGATCTTTCAACTAAATAGACTCAATTACCCATTACATTATCAGGATTATTCATTCATGAAGTCTTTTTCCCTTCCTGTTATCGTAAAAAGTAAAATTTTGCGTGTATTTTTTTCAAATAGCATGTAAGAGTGGGTCGACCAGCCCCACCCCGTACCCACGCGGGTATTACCCGCCCCGACCCGTAATAGCATACGGGGCATGGATATTAAGGTACCCGCCCCGATCCATTGCCAACACTAGTCTTCATTCTAGCACCCCTCACCCACCCATTTGATTTGAATTTTCTCAGTTTCCGGGTTGGTTTCGGCCGGATGGCATGGAGTAGGGGGGTCAGTCGATCGGTTTAGGTTTAACCGAAAATCGAGCCACCACCTCCCGCTGCCGACCACCGACCATGAGGGACATTGCGGTTAGCCGACCACCGACCGGTCGGTTATCGGTTTTGGTTCGGTAAGCCGCATACCCGAAAAACACTCCCTAATCTAAAAAAAATTAAAAAAATCCAAAAATCCTCCCACCACTTATTCCTTATCTCTCCTTTCTTTTTCCATTCAAACCCTCCACCACCACTCCTTTTGTTTCTCTCCTTCCTTCTAACTTCTAATAAACTTACATTAGTTACATAATATGAGTCAGCACTCAAGAAGCAACCGAGCAGGAGGGCTTGCCACCGATAGGAGAGGGAGGAGCGACTTCCTCGCGAAGCCAGCGGACAGAGGCGGAGGGAGACGGCTTTCACGCGGCGCAACGGCGGTTGGAGGCGGCGCAGCGGGTGGAGGCATGGAGGGGCAGCGCGTCGCGCGATTGGAGGCTGCCTGCTTGCCTGCGTGTCGCGACAGTTGGAGGCGGAGGAGACGGCGGGGTGACTGGAGGAGGGGAGGCAAGGGTGGCCGGTGAACTGGTGAAGGGCGGCGACGGCGAGGGTGGTCGTGGGCTGCGCGAGAAAGGGGTGGGGTGGGGTGAGGGGTGGCTGCCTGACTGGAGAGTGGGGAATGAGATATGGGATTAGGGTTGGGGAGGCTGGGGGTCGCTTTGGGCGGGGATGCGGGGTCGTTTTGGAGAAAGGGAAAGTGGCGCTAACCATCGGTTTCCGACCACGGTTAATCGGCTAGCCGAACCTCTTTCCCTCTCCTCCGACGACCGACCGCCGACACTTGGGAACGATTTTCGGCTAGAAACCGTCCGGTTAACTGCTAATCAAAAATCGTTCTGCCACCCCTAGCACGGGTCGGGTTTCGGTTCACTTTGTTCACTAGATGTGCACTCATTTTGATCATCGAAGGACGAACCAACGAGACTAGTGATACCCATATGGACCCATTTCATGTAGTTGGGCCTTCTTAATATGAGCCCAGCTCATAGCATATCCTAAACATTGCTGCCGCCTGCCAGAAGGTTCTCCCAACGGCGTACGAGGAACGGAAGAAGTCTACTCCTCCATCTCAGATACCGGAGTTCACTAGACGGCGACGAAAATGTCGACGCTCCTTCGTCACGTACGCTATCGTCGACCAAACATCAATCTCCTATCTCTCTCTGTCTCCAGATTGTCTTCAATAGCCGTGCCTTCGCGTTTCATTCACTCTCCCGTTTTCCCGCCGTGGTCAGCGCATCCGCCGCCGCCGACCATCATCAGGGCGTTCGGTTCCGACTGCTGCGGCGGCCACCACTCGAAGACGACCGTCAACACCAAGGTCAACTTCTCCCCACCCGGTTCCGATTCGGATTCAGACTCCGACGAGGCGGCCGACCATCAGAAGAAGAACTACACGTCACCGTCGAACCGGGGAGAAATCGACAAGAGTAAGCTCCCTCCGCCGTACGACCCGTTCAACAAGAGGCCCGCGGCGGTCGAGGACCCGGAAGACCCGAAGGACCTGCAGAAGATCTTCCACAAGATGCGGAGCGAAGATGGGCTGTTCAACAATGCAGTCAAGATGTTCGACGAATTGTCCAAGGACGGGCTGACACACGAAGCCTTGGAACTCTTCTCCCAGATCAAGGACAAGGGCCAGATGCCCGACGTGGTAGCTCATACCGCCGTCATCGAGGCCTACGCCAACGCCGGCCAGTCCAAGGAAGCCCTGAAGGTGTTCCTGCGGATGCTCAACTGTGGAGTTGCTCCCAATGCCTATACTTACGCGATCCTGATCAAGGGCTTGGCCGCGGGTGGGCGAATCGGGGATGCGAAGAAGTATGTGGTGGAGATGATGGGGAAAGGGATGAGACCCAATGCTGGGACTTACTGTGCAGTGTTCGAGGCTCTGGCGAGAGAGCAGAGAGTGGAGGAAGGCAGGGAGCTTTTGGAGCAGATGAAGGCCAAAGGGTTCTCACCGGACGAAAAGGCGGTGAGGGAAGTTATTGGGAGCAAAAGGGGAGCTGTTTTCAGAACTGTTATCAATCTTCTCTTTGGGAAGTAGTGGCTAATGGCTAAGGTAAGTTTGTAAGCTTTCGCTTTTGGTAGTAGCTAATAGTGAATGAAGAATCCCTCCTTTGTGAACCGAGATCAGAAGTTTGAGTAATAGAAGGTTTTATTATTGTTCCAAGTAGATGAAGAAGTATGTTTTACTCTATATATGCTTTAGTATAGGCAATGTGAGCAGCTAAGATAGGCAGAGTTTCATTCATTGACAAACTAACTTGATAATAAGAGCACGACTTACTTACTAGTTTACTGATTACTTTAAGATATCTTACAACTAAAACAAGAGAAAAGAAAGGAGCTAAGCCTCCTTAATAAGCCCTAGCTGGAATTTTTGTTGGATTTGGCTAAGCTCACCCGGGAAAGAAAGCCAGAGGGCAATTCAAGGATTCGACAACGGAGCCTGGAAAGCGACCCATCGTTGCTTGCTTTGCGCTTAGGGGCCTTCAGAACAAGTATTTCTCTTAGGTTCAGTATGCTTTCTTCTTCATCCCATCTTTTCAGAGCTATGTTCAACATCCTTACGGCTTCCTTTGGCTCAAAAGACTCTCATCCCTTGGTGCAGCTGGGATTAACCACTCAGCCCAATCGCCTCTTCTTCTCACTTTACCTTCACAAACTTCCACCACACTAGAAATCCTCAGAGCATCCAGAACCACATTGACATCTCTCGTCAGCCTCGAAATCCTATTGAAACCGGCTATCAACCCAATGTCCACCCACCCTTGTCCGTCCATATGCTTTCTCAAGTACAGGTCTTTGATCAAGTTCTCCTTGCTAAAGTAGTACTCCACTTGGTTCCTGATGGCCGAGTGAATGTAAGAGGCATACGCTACCCAGTTGTACATCACCGGATTCGGCAATGTTGGCCGCAGCAGCGGCCACCACCGTGGATGGTAAAGCGGCAGCGGAGGTCTCATCGCCGGCATTGGGATTGGCCGAGGAGGACCGATGAAACTGGGGCCGGGAGCAAAGTTGTTGCTTGGAGGCGGGGGAAACCACAGAGGGGCCGGGCCGGGGTATGGTTGTGGCGGAAGGCGATGACGAGTCCGAAAGGGAGGGACGGTGATGGTGGCGGCGGAGGATGAGGATTCGGGAGAAGAAAAACTCATCGGCGACGTTTGATAATAATTGTAGTAAACTAAACTGTCCTCTTCAGTGTCCAGATATATACTTAATTCTAGGCGGAGGAAAGATTTGGTTTCCTGGTGGGATTGTGACTTTGTGAGTCCCTATTAGATATGGATTAGAGTTTGGTTTTATGGTAATCCGCTCGTATTTTCAGAGTGTTCTAGTGATGTATTCTTACATCATGTAAGACGTAAAACGGCAAGGTTTATTCGGCTGACTATATCGTATTTGAAGCATAATACGATAGTTCAGGGTAACTTTAGTTTGAACTTTTGATTTTAAGATGAAGGATGAGCCAGGAGGTAGGATTCGAAGCCTTTGAATACAGCTGAGAATTGTTGCCTCATTCCTTCATAGGCAGCCTTGATTTCGTCCTCTCCAATCCCTCCGTCTTCGGAGGTGAAGAACTTGGTGGTGCGCTTGCAGCTTGTTCCGCCGCCGCCGACGGCCGATTCCTCCATCGTCATTCTGTAAGAGATCTTCTCCACTCCGGCCACAAGTGTGTCTCCACCGAACACCGTGTAGCCATAGATCAACTTCACCTCGTCCACCTCGTCCACTACTTCCTTCATGAACTTCAACTGTCCCCCTACAATGAAAGATAAAATTTGTATAACAGTGTCGCAGGTCATGGTTAATTCAACTGCACGAATTTGTCAGAAGAAAAGCTCGATTGTTTTACCTTCGATAAAATTGAGTTGCTGCGTGGTTCCAGGGCCTCCGTCGCCGTCGGTGGCCACGCTCTTGACTATCTCCGGGAAGGCTTGGACGGCGATCTTTGCGCGCCGTCGACGACAAAGGCCTTGAAGATCTTGGCGGGAGGGATGGAGCTGGTCAGCTCTGCTTCATAACTGCAGATCGCCATAGCTGTAGTTTTGTGTGAAGGCTTAGCTAGGAATGCAGAAAGAATGGCGGAAATGTTAAGCTGCTGGTTGCTTGCTGTTCTGACTTGGAGTTGGCCGGCCTTGGTTCCATATAAATATTGTGACAGGGTCAACCGTCGCCATTGTCGAATCATTTTTCTCTTTTGTTCTGTGACGAAAGGCCAAAAGCCGAAAATGGACAACAGAGGATCTGATGGCTCCGTTGAAGGAAGCCTGGGGGAACAAATCATCAATTGGAACACTAATAGCGGGATTTTTTCAGAAATAGCAATGTTTAATTTTTTTTTCCTAAAAATAGCACCAAACTCCGAAAAATTTTAAAAATAGCATCCTTTCTGCAAAATCGCCACCCGTAGCAGCGGTTTAGGTGAAAACCGCCACCCGGAGGCGCGTTTTTCGATGAAAATCGCACTAGTAGGGGGCGGTTTTGCAAACCGCACCCCCACCATGCGGTTTGTTTGCAGACCGCACCCCCATCATGCGGTATTTTTTTTTTAAATCCTAACCTAGGTGGAAACTTCAAACGAACGTATCTTTGTGTTCGGGTATCCGATAACCTTTTGAGATCTTGCAAGCCGAAGACTGCCGAAGGTGGCTTGGTCCCGCCTTCGTCCCAAAAATGTTGTTTGCTATCCCGAACGAGCTTTTTTCCGATTTCGTCAAACTTTAGACAACCATAACTTTGTGCTCCAAAAAGTAACAAAATCCAAACGGCATGAAGTAACAAAAAGTAACAATTTATAAAATCTTTATAATATGTTTTTCCCGCATCATATTTTCAAATTTGGTGTACCTACAGTGTAAATATGAAGTAACAATGATGCAGATAATTTTTTCACGAACAAGGGTTTGGTCTAGTAATAATACCACTAGCCTTGAACCTAGATACCCCAGATTCAAATTCTTTCAATAATATCAACCACAAAAAGTAAATCTATATCATCATTATAAAATAAATAAAGATAAATTATGATTAAAAACTGCTAATAATGTTACATCTTATACGAGAGATTGGTCTAACATTTGGCGAAAATAAAATATCGAGAACGTATGGTTCACTAATATTTCCATGTGGGTTGCTCTTCCAGAAATTGATATTGGATCGAGTAATTTTTGCATAAAAATATTTTTGCTATTCTTTAACTTTTTTTTTGATAAGTTACTGAGGTGACTATGCGCTTGTGAATTCATGAATGTCTCCGATCCACCACTTTTTCGGTCCTTATGAATGGTACCCCTGGTGGGTTCTTCACCCCCTCAAGAGGTCTTCGCCAAGGAGACCCGCTCTCGCCTCTCCTTTTTGTGCTTTGCACGGAAGGGTTTGCGGCCCTGCTTAGAAAGGCCATTGAGGATGGCCGTCTGGAAGGGGTGAAGGTGGCACCAAGGGCCCCCCGTATCTCGCACTTATTCTTTGCTGATGACTCTTATTTGTTCCTGAGAGGATCCCTCCAGGAATGTGAGAATCTGATAGAGGTGCTGAATGAGTACGAAAAACTTAGTGGCCAGAGGGTTAATCTGGACAAGTCTGCGGTTTGCTTCAGCAAGAACATTGTTCTAGCAGACCAGGAGTTTTTAGCTGCGATTCTGGGGGTGGGGGCGGTAGGGGTACAGGATAAATACTTGGGGCTCCCATCCTTGATAGCCCGGTCAAAAATGGTCACCTTTCGGTATCTTGAGGAGAAATTGCTGGCCAGATTGCAGGGTTGGAAGAGGAGGTCGCTTTCCTGGGCAGCTAAGGAAACACTGATAAAATCAGTAGCCTTAGCCCTCCTGCTGCATGTCATGTCTTGCTTCAAATTGCCTCTGGCGCTCTGCCGTTTGTTGGATAAACATGTGGCCAGGTTTTGGTGGGGGGTTGAGGAGGGACAGTCGAAGATTCGATGGATTTCGTGGAGGAATATGTGCAGAAGTAAGCATGATGGGGGGATGGGGTTTCGTCGGTTTGAACAGTTTATCCAAGCTCTCCTAGCCAAAATTGGGTGGCGAATTTTAAACGAACCTGATTCCCTTCTTGCCCAGGTCTATAAAGGGAAGTATTTCCCTCGGGGGTCTTTTCTCTCGGCAACAACTCGTTCTAGACCTTCATGGGGATGGCAGAGTATCCTTCATGGTCGAGAGTTGTTGGCGGAGGGGCTCCGTTGGCAGATAGGTAATGGGCGGCAGGCTGCTCTCCTTACATCTAGTTGGATCCCTAATTTACACCCGCTACCTCCCAGATTTAACCCTCGTGTGATGGAGGAAGGGGTGGAGCTGAGGGTGGCAGAGGTTATTCAACATGATGAGGGTAGGTGGTGCGAGGATAAGCTCCGGCAATGGTTTGATCCCATGACCTGCAAGGCTATAAGGGCAATCCCGTTACCTCGTCAGAATTTAGAGGATCATATGATCTGGCATGGGACCACTGATGGTGTGTTCACGGTTAAGTCCGCATATCATTTAGCGGTCACTCTAGATCAACAACGAAGGAAGTGGAAACCTACGGTTAGTTGGATGGATCGAACTAGTTGGATCCGGTTGTGGGATGCGGATATACCTCCAAATATGAAAGTGTTCGTGTGGCAGATTTCTAAAAGAATTCTGCCTACGACGGAGGCGCTAATTGAGAAGGAGGTCGAGGTTCATCCACGGTGTCCTGTTTGTTGGTCCAGTGCTGAAACGATGGAACATTTGTTTTTGGATTGCATAGTTGCGCGTGCCATTTGGGATCAGTCTGGATTGGCTCACCTTGGAGAGGGGTTGCCTCGGCATACCTTCCCACTCTTTTTGAAAAAGCTCTTGGCTTTGATTGACGGGAAGCCTCAGTTTATGGAAGTGATTGCAGTCTTATGGAGGATTTGGAGATCGCGCAACTGGGTGGTTTTTGAAGGTAAACAATTTGGGATTGCGCCCTTGATGCGCCAATTCCGCCAACAGGTGCAGGAATGGGCTAGTCTCCCTAAGGACTCTGCTCCCCAGTCTTCCCCTAGGATTGGCCTGGCCAATGTGGAGGGTCCGGCTTCGGCAATTTGTATGTGGGATGGGGCAGTAAAGGTTGGTTCGCATTCGGCGGGAGGGATGGTTCTCTTGAATTCGGCCCGGGAGATTATCCTAGTGAAAGGGATTCGTTTCCCTGGGATCGATGATCCAGCTGTGGTGGAGCTTCTGACATTCAAAGAGGCTATCTTATGGTGCCTTGGGCATGGTTTTTCTGCTGTGCGCTTTGAAGGTGATGCCCAGCTGGTTATTGACAAGATTCGTCAGGGCGACACCAGAGATAGTCGAATGGGGACCATCCTGGAAGAGGTTGGCAACTTGATGGTGGCTCAAGCAGGATTTAGTGTTCGATTTGTAGGTCAGCGAAACAATAGGGTAGCTCATTTGGTAGCTAGGAAGGCCCTTTCTTTGTACCCGACTATGAGTCATTTCTTTGACTTCCGGGCCTGGCTATGTTCCAGGATGTAATTGCCTATTTTTTTATCAATATATGATTACCTTTTGTAAAAAAAAAAAAAAAAGACTATGCGCTTGTGAAAAAGTATCTAATTCTAAAATTATGAATGATCATACGAAATGTATATCATTGAGCTTTCACATATTAATTTAAATTAATAAAGTTCTTCCAACCAACAAATCGAACCTTAATCGGGTTTAACATTATACCCCCCATATCAACAGTATAATTTATAGCTGAAAAGTAAAACCGCAACCCCCATTCAAATTTTCCTGCGCATAGAGTGATTTTAGGAGTCTGACGTGGTAGGGTGGTTACGCGGGATTAAATTAAAAATTCCCGCCTGACAGGAGAGATAAGAAACCGTCGGTTCCCACTACTTTTTTTGCGGCTGAAATCATCTTCCATTTTCTCCGGGGTTATCTACGTTTTGCTTTCTCCTTCCCGCAGCACGACAGGATATCCATTTCTCAGCGGACAATTTTGGGAACAGGGACTGACGCTTGCTGCTCAGCGGAGGAAGGCATTGACGGCCCGCTGATGTGGAGTTTACCGTGCCGAGATTCTGCAGTTTGGAACGAGCGGCGAACACCTGATTGAGCGAGGAAGACCTGCGGCTAATTGACGGTGAATTCCCCAGCCAACCGGCGAATCGAAGGTGAGTCATGATTTGTGGTATTTGTTTACCCCCGCTGATTCGAACAATCGGATTTGGTAGTTATGCGGTGAACGATTTTCCAGCCAACCGCCGATTTGAAGGGGAGGCGAGATTGTTTCGGTTAGTTTACTCCTGCTGCTTCTCTCAATCCGGATTAGGTAGTTCTGCGTTGAACCCTTGCCAGCCAACCGACGATTTGAAGGGGAGTCAGTAATTTTTTCTGTTTGTTTTGCCCGGTTGCTTCGCGCTGTCAGATTTGTTAGTCTGATATATATGCGTTTTGGGGAAGCCCGCAATTCCTCTATTCGCAATTGGATTTGGTAGTCTGATCTGCATATTACCTATTACTGTTTCCATCATTTACTTCGCTTATCTTTAGTTTTATCTGATTGAGTTTCCATGTGTACCCAGCTAAATTGATAGGCCAACCTTTCCTGTACCTCCTGTGTCCTTATCGCAGCTTAGAAGGAGACCACGTCTTCGGCGAATTCGGCGACTACAAGCCCCTCGAAGCCAAGGAAAACAGGGGAAACCAGGGGAGCCGAGTTCCAAAGAAGGCATAAATAATTGAGCTCTGGTTTAGATCCCAGCTGCAACTGGTAGGTTTCTCGCCCACTTTCATTGATATTCCATTTCAGTCTCCTTTCTGTTCCGGATATTTAGTTCTAAATTTGGGTTTAGCCCATCGTACTTGATAGATTTGGTTCATCATCTTCTCCAATTCTTTTCTGATCAAAGAGACGACGACGAAACTAAATTATGATTACTGAGAGTGAACCATACAAGAAGAAAACGAGCTTTGTATTCGCATAAGGAGAAAAGGCGAGGGATGGGTTAGCGGCGGCGGTGGGTTTCTGACTCTCTTTCGTTAATATTCACTTTCTGACTTCTTATTTAGTGTGTTGATTTTTGGGTCTACGTTATGATTTTCCCTTACTATACTACATGGATTTGGTTCATCATTTTTGCCCGTTCTTTCAGATTGAAGGAACGACGACGGGAACTCGATGATGGCAGGAGAAAGTGGAAAATGAGCGTTGGGTTTGCAGAGGAAAGAATAAGGATGATTAAGTTAGCGGAGTAGAAAGAAGGCAAAGCCAGGTAGTTCAAGTTTGGCGACTTCCTTTCAGTTTGATTGGGTGTTTGTGATAAGTCTTAGTTTGGTCAACATATGAGGACTTTCATGAGTACAAAAAAGGCTAAGAGGAAGAAGAAGAAGAAGCAACAGCAGAGAATTAATTTTCCCTGGTCAAATCCCCTGGTCGCAGTTTACAAAGACATAGAAGGCAAAGAGAACGGCAGTGGAAGGAGGAATAAGAAGACGCACAAAATCGAAAAGGTGAAGAACTCTATTACGATTATGAAGGAATAACGCAATCGACATGGTGGTGACCTTCTCTCTTTGCTTCTGTTTTTTTTTTTTTGTTTTGTTTAATTTCTTGTGATTTATTCGCAGGTTAATGAGCTTATGCCAGTTTTGGGTACTTACCTTCCAAATAGCACATTAGGAAGCTTTCACTTGCCGAGTTCAACTTATTAATCAAGTGCTTGCCATTAATGGTGGTTTGGATGTGTTTGGCTCCATTTTATATCTTCCAGACCTCGCGGTTTGAGGAACAAATTTTATTCATTAAACACTATTTGAGGATTGAATGCTTTTTCCTATTAAGAAATACTATAACTATGTTGATTTTTGTTATTTATTATGTGTGTTTTGTGTTATAATTGAAGACATACATGTTGAACTTTAGATATAATAATATTTTATACGAGACGGGTATTATCCATGGGTATCCGAAAACCATGGGTATGGGGATGAGTTTGCAAAACCTCCCTCTGCATGGGTATGGTGCGGATATGGGTTTGGGTATTTGGTAATGGGAATGAGGATGGTTTAGGCAAACCCGCCCCAACCATCCCTAGCGACGGCTGGGTTTCATCGGTGGAGGGATACAGAAGGGAGTTGGAGAAATATTAGTTTCTACCCACTAATATTAGTTTCAACCCACTAATTAATTCTTAAAACAACAGCTACTTCGATGACTATGTTCTGTGCTAATATGGATGATTGCTAAGTGGGTTATTAATGTTTACTTCCTGATCCGTTGGACATTTAATAACTCACTTTTGTGCATATACCTTATAACTATGCCACATGCTAGCTCATTTTGTTATGGGTTGTTAATTGCAAGGACCAACATAGGCGAAAAGATAATTGTGACCAGATCACATACAGATTTCTCATATTGGGAATCGCGTTTTAATCAATAAACCATGAGATTGCCAGAGAATCTGGAAGATGACATGTTTTTAATCAACTATTAATAATGTATTGTATGTTGGCTAATATGGCACCATGATAATTCTTCCCAGGTTTGTTGTTTGGATGGTTTTACTGTTTTCTTTACTTTTATGTCTTTCCCATCGGTCTCTTTGAATGCTCGATTTACAAATCTAATTTATGGATGTCACTTATTCCAAATTAATGGGGACCAACAAATTTCAAATTCGATAGCAAAACTTTTCATCCTTGACCTTTGATTTGATTAGAGTTTTAGCACTTACTTCCAAATTTAGGAGTTAGACAAATCTCGCATGTGTTGAATTTAGATACCAAATACATAACTGAAATATATGATCCAAACGATGTTCACATTTGTTATTGAATATCAAATTGGTTTTCTTTCTTTATGAAGTCGTGAATCATTTTTCATAAAATCCCATTTTCACGACAAACGATTGTATATTTGAATCAACAAGTGTTTTATTTAATAAAATTTCAAATAAATACTTCAAATATTTGAGATTTTGGTCAATATAATAGCTTGGACTATCCTTTTACGTCATTGTCAACTCTTAAAACCACAAATATTTTTCGTGAATCATATAAAATTAAAGATCCCAAATCAAGTAAATCATAAATATTGATAAAATAAATTATACGAAATAGAATGAAATTGATCCGACCAACGGGTCGGGTAAAAGCTAGTTTGATAGCAGAGGCGAAGCCGGAATGAGAGTCTCGTGAACCGAAGTTATTTCTTGACATAGAATCGGAAATTGAGATTCAAAATACAATACTAATCATAGATCTCGGTATGTTTGGGACACTAATCTTGCTTTTTGAGGGCAAATTGCATTTTCTTAAGATGAAGGATTGGCGAGGAGGTGGCCTTCGAAAGCCTTGAAAATAGCACAGAACATCTGCCACATCCCTTCATTAGCAGCCTTCACTTCATCCTCACCAATCCCTCCTTCCTCGGAGGTGAAGAACTTGCTGCTGCGCTTGCAGATCGTTCCGCCGTCAGCCGATTCCTCCATCTTAAAACGGTAAGAGATTTTCTCCACTCCGGCCATCAGAGCATCCCCGCCGATCACCGTGTAGCCGTAGATCAGCTTCTCCTTGTCCAGCTCGTCCACCACTTCCTTCACAAACTTGAACGGGCTCCCTGTAAATTACATATAGAAAATTTGCGGATTAAAACTTAAAAAACTTATGCTTTCATAATTTTAGTTCATCAAAATGTTTTTACGTAGAATCGCGCTTTTTACCTTCGTTGAAATGGACTTGCTTGATGGTTCCGGGGCCCCCGTCGCCTTCGGAGGCGACGCTCTTGATGGCCTCCGGGAAGATTTGAGCGGCGATCTTCTCGCCGTCGACGACGAAGGCCTTGAACATCTTCGCCGGAGGGATGGAGGTCGTCACCTCTGCCTCAAAGCTGAAGATCGCCATAGCTATGTTGTGTAAGGTAGCTGGAATCCACAGAGAGGAGGCGAAATTTTGAGAGGAACTTGTGAGATTTATCGTCCATGGAATTCCGCCATGTGGGTTATATATTTAGTGATGGTGGTAGTAATTTTCAGTCATCGGGCGCCATTGTTGAATACTATAGTCTTCTTTTTCGTTTTCTAATCAGGTTATATTTTTTTTATTCCCGAGCCTATATTGGTCGTTAGAGTTATGGATAATCTATGTTATGATTCCAAATCTAATCTCATCACCACTTACTACTTCCAAACTTTGTTCATCCTCTTAACTCAAGTTACTCGTTGAATTTGTACGCTAATGTCAAAAGTACAAATTCAAATAAAATGTACAAATTCAATTTATACTATATAACTATTTATTTTAACAAAATAATCGGTGTTTATGACCCGACCAAACTCATGAGAACCGCGGTCCAATAATGAAAGACATGTTAGGACCCCGACCAAAGACCAGACCAACATTGCATTTGGTCTGCTTAGGTTCGGTCAATCTATCAGTTCGATCCATTTTTCTTTCGTATTTACAAAATTCATGAAACCAATAACGAGATCATGATATATTCAATCTGGTATGATCCGGTGTAACCGTTAGTTTAGCTCGTTGCAATCCGGTACGGACCTAATTTGGGGGTTTGACTTTGACCATGGCGGCCACGACTAGTAAACAAAGAGACAAAATCACAAAACGCAAAATGGACAACCCTAGGGATCTGGTGACTCGTTAGAGGAAGGTGTGGGAATCTGGGAGTTGGCGCCGCCAGTGATGGGCTTTAACCGTAATCTTATTAGGCCGAGCCATTTCGGTCCATCTTTATAAAAGCCCAGCCCAAGTCCAGCTATTTTGTTAACGAACTTGGAATTGATGAAAATTTCGGTCAAAAAATAAAATGAAAGAAAATTGACGAGAAAAGGAAACTGGCAATAAATACTCCCAACTAATCGTAAATCGTATGATGAAATTAAATTATTATTTCACAAAAAAATTATTTAATTATTATTAATTAAAAAGTTAGGTCCCAACCATTTTTTCCACCTCAACACCGACCTATTTGTTTCTGCTGGACGGTTTAGATGCGCCTGTTTGTTTGTGATATTAAACTTGTACAGGTGATGTACTGCATTGCGAGGAATTTTACAATGTTATACAGCATTGGTGCTATAGATTTTTGTCTTATAGTGTAATTTGAAATTGTACCTTTAACGTTATGGTACAACTTCATATTGTATCTGTATTTTTGTACAAATTCTTTTATGGTACAACTTAAACTTGTACCTTATGTGATTGTACAACTTCAAGTTGTAAAGTTGTACCATAACATAATGATACAAATTCCTTTATGGTACAACCTAAACTTATACATTTAATATTATAGTACAACTTCAAATTGTACATTAAAGCACCAATGCTATATAGCATAGTAAAAGTGCTCGTACTACATTAGCTAAACGTTTTAGAATAGAGATTTAACTTGATTTTTTAAATACATTAAATTGTTGCTTTTGCATCCACTTCCTCAATCAAAAAACATTTATGCTAAGTTTTCTGAATAAGTTATCTGAATCTCAGTATATTTTACTTTTTCTTTCACATATCACTTATATTTTATGGTACAATAATGAATATGGAAGCAAAACAAAAAAGGTCAACAAAAAAATTAGTATTTGGTCGAGATACAATCTGGACTCCCACTTTCTTAGCTAAAACAAAGCTAAGCCTAATAAAAATATATGCTGCCGCCCGAGCCCTACATTCTGAGACATGGAAAATTTATGAATCCGCTTGACTAAAGCCACGACATCCGTATCCAACTCTCATAGCGAAGAAGAAAAAAAGGGCAGGAAAAAATAACCAGCCGTCATACACAAGTCCCGATACTTTGCATACTTTTGTTGAGCAACATCAGCAACAACTCGACCAGGCACAAAACCAGTCATTCAAGTCTGAGTCAAAAGTGAAGACCTAGTAAGATCGACACATACATCTAGCCCCATGTCCAAGGAATAAAGCAGCAAATCTGCAGGACGAAGGGGTCCGCCATGACCATCAACCAAATCTATATCAACCACCCTACCGGCAGAAATCCCAGACTTGTAACAAATGTCTAATAAGTTGTCACGAACGAAGTCATTGCCAATGCTTAATGCCCACAATACCAACACAAAACACAACTTGATCCCCAAAGACATCACCATGAATGACAGAGGAACAAGTAGGACAAGGCTTAGACCGAAAACAACGTGACACCCAATCGATAACTCAACACACTACGATATGTCCTCCCATTCATAGGAACAACGCGCAACCAATCATAAGAGTATGCACTCTGCCGAGACTTCCACAAAGCCACCTGACGAGTAGTCAACGAGAAAACATAATCTAAAGTAGCAACAACATTCGCGAAAATATATTTTTATCTGAGATCGTCTGGTTTTGGTGATAGTTTGGTTAGGATAGTTACAATGTATGCAATGTTATGCATTGTTTTTTTGAATTTTCTGCACAAACAATACATGCATTGTTTGCTTGATGTGACACAAACTATCACTCAAAACGAGTGATAATTAAATCTCAAGTTTTCGGTGAGATTGTTTGATTGAGATTGTTGTGTTTTTTTCTTCTTGGGGTCGTTTGGTTTTAGTGATAGTTGAATCAATGTATTGTCATCAATGCATGTATATACATGTATATAAGAAAATAGGTATAATATATATTATTTGGTTTTGGTGATAGTTAAATTGATGCATTGTTATTAATACATGCATAATATATATATATATGGTGCCTTCTACGGTACCCCGAATGAAATCCGGGGTACCGCATACCTTGAGTATGAAAACGCTATCTAGACCTCGAATTAGCAGGATTTTTGGGCATGATACTATACCCTAACCTTTAATGAGTGAACCCTAGGTTCTAATTATCTAAATCATAAACTATAAACCCTAAGATGGTGCATTCATTTTTTTGCCTATATTTGAACGAATCATAACCGTCGATTATTGTTTCTAATTAAATTGATCTTGGGGTATATGATTTAGAGAATTAAGACCTAGATGTTGATCTTTAAGAGTTAGAGTATAGTATCATGTCCGAAAGATCAGTCAATTCAGATTCTGGATAGCGTTTTCTTACTCAAGGTAGCACAATATGTTAGGTGAGAGACAAACTGCATTGAACGCAGTTTTGATTAGTTTGGTAAGCCATTGATTAATCACTTTACTTCTCTAAACAAAAACATTTTTACCTAAATCAGTAAAACGCCAACCAGAACTTAATCCAAACAGCGAATTAGATTGGTTTAGTTATCACTAAACGACAAACTTTTTATTTATCCCTTTCAGGCTTTCACCCACACGGTTGGCAAAAAAATGTCCCCTACTACTAAACTTGAATAAATCCTTAAATTCATCCCGCGCTAATGAGACAGTTCCATCAACAGGTTGAGGAATGGATGGCTCTGCCCCGGGAGCAGACGACTGTGGTGGCAGGGCCGAGGGTTCAGGTGGTTTCGGGGGAGGAGTCCATTATGGTTTGCAGGTGGGATGGGGCTACCAGGAGGGGGTCGCACTCTGCTGGTGGGATGGTTCTTCTCGTTCAGGGGAAGGTCCTTCTGGCACAGGGGGTGCAGTTTCCTAGGCTGGATGAGCCTGCTTTGGCAGAGTTGCTGGTGTTGCGCGAGGCTTTGACCTGGTGTTTGGGGTATGGTTTCACGGAGGTTCGGTTTGAGGGGGATGCCAAGGTGCTTATTGACAAAATCAATCAGGGGAATATGATGGACAACCGCTTGGGGGCGATCATGGAGGAAATTGGGCAATATTTGTGTGATCACCCGGGGTTTAGTGTGCGATTTGTAGGTCGGGAAAACAATAGGGTAGCTCATTCGGTAGCTAGAAAAGCCCTCTCTTTGTATCCGACTATGAGTCGTTTGTTTGATTTCAGGGCCTGGCTGGTTTCCAGGATGTAACTATTTTTTTATCAATATATGATATCTTTTGACAAAAAAAAAAAAAAAAATTAAGGTTATAAAAAACAGCTGTCTTTTGTATTTTTTTTCCCTCTTCTATGGTCTTTTTTTTTTTTGACAAAAGATAATCATATATTAGATCAAAAAGATAGTTACATCCTGGAGATCAGCCAGGTCTGAAAATCAAAATGACGGTTCATAGCCGGGTACAAAGAAAGGGCCTTACGAGCCACTAAATGGGCTACCCTATTGGCACGCCGACCTACAAACCGAACAGAAAACCCAGGATAGCAGGACAAATAATGCGACACCTCCTTCAGAATAGCTCCTATCCTGCCATCCCTAACCTCCCTCCGTTGGAGCTTCTCAATGACCACCTTGGCATCTCCCTCAAACCGTACATTAGAGAACCCATGCCCACCGCACCAAAGTATCGCGCTTCGCAAAACAAGCAGTTCCACCACCAGAGGATCATCAATGACGGGGATTTGGAACCCACTGGCCATGATGATATCCCGATTCGGATCCATCAGCACCATCCCTCCTGCCGAGTGCGATCCCCTCCGAACTGCCCCATCCCAGCCACAGATAACCCCCGACACCTCCTCCTGGTGCGACTGGTTGGCCTCCATAGCATTCGGCCTCGTACCTGTTTTATCCACCGGGAGGTTCATCCACTCCTCATATTGTTGCGTGAACTGGCGCACCAGAGCATCCACTCTATACTGCTTACCCTCGAAGACCACCCAATTACGAGATCGCCAAATTCGCCAGAGGACGGCCACCACCGCCATGAACAACGCAGGGCACTGGATTAGAGTCATGACCTTCTTGAGAAACAAAGGAAAAGAATGACGCGGCAATCCTTCCCCGACATGCTCAAGGCCCGCAGCACCCCAAAGATCCCTGGCTACCTGGCAATCTAAAAAGAGGTGTTCCATAGTCTCTTCGGCTTCCCAACAAACCGGGCATCGCTGATGGACCACAATCTTTCTATCACGCAAAGCTTCTGTAGTAGGAAGGATCCGACGAAAGACCTGCCAGAGGAACACCTTAAGTTTCGGAGGTATGTTAGTCTCCCAAAGGCGAATCCAGGATCGACGATCCATCCATTCCACCCCAGCCCTCCAACGACCCCTGCTCCTGTCCAAAGCCACTGCCAGATGGTA